CTCACATGACAACAACCACTTCAGCAAACCATGCGTTCGGAGCGTTGAACTTATGCGTCGATGTATTTGCATGTCGAACAACCAACAATTGTATGTTAATTATACGAGTATCGCTCAGTAATGATAGACGTCTTACGTAACGGGGTCGTGTAAATAACTCTTGTAGGAGACGAGAGTTGAACTCCACCAAAGAGCAGGATATTGAGCGGTTATAAGCAGCAGCGATGTCGACAGAGAAACATGTAAAAAGTAATCTTTTTTGACGCAAGTGAAATAAATAAATAACAGTAAATCAAATCATTGATCAAACTATTGTAAGTAGCCGACCTTAGACCATTGAAACACGCGATGATAGTTGGCATAGGCACAACAAGGGCTTAGATTTTTGTTTGAGGAGTTAATAATGCCTGTATAAAATTCTGGAGTATAACTTCAATACCGCAGAAGTGTAGCTTTCAGTCGCAGGAGAATAATATTATTGTCGCAGAAGAGACCACATGTACTGTAACTATGTAAGAGCCACAGCTCAAAGCTGCGTCTGGGTTCCAACTCGGATGGTTTTCCTTTTTGCTAACTCATATCGAGTGATTTTGCAAGAAGCAAACTGAAGCATTCAAGAGAATGTAACCGAGATTATTATCAAGAAACCTTTTTACAAATAAGAATTTGCTGCAGTCAGCGCGAGTGTGTGCCATCAATTAGCCAATTTTTGGGTTGCGCCACAATCCATTTTTGTTATTGCGTCTTCACCGAAACCGATCTCTGTGCTCCACCTTACGTTCCATCCCAGAATTATTATGAGATATTCAATGGATGATATTTCCCTAGGGTCTACCCTGCTTTCTGAACTCCAGGCTAGCAGATTGAAGAGCGGTGTCGGATTGCAAAGGAAGTGTTCTTAAACTTCGGGCTGTCATCGCATGTAAAATCTACTTTCATGCCATGTTATATATTTCATAAATATTTTGCTATTCAAAACAATAATTCGGGTCGTAATAATTATACCTACCTAAAACAACAACTGGATGGAACAGTGCGCTCTTCTGCATGGACACGTTGCGGCATTAACGAAAGATCTACGTCGGTAGAGCTTTGCATGTGAACAGGCATTGTCATTGCTCAAGTACTATTAAAATATAATTTTCGCATGAAATTGTAGGAATAATATAATGTAAAAATATTTTATAACTCCAAAATTATATTCAAGATTTGATTAAAGTTAGACTCGGGAAGTTAGTTTAGGGAAATACGTTTGAAGTACTAGGAGCTGTGTTAATATAGATGTTAATACATCACTCACAATCATACATCAGCAGGACGAAGTAAATATACACTAAACGATGGCGGAAAACTGAAATTAATATGCGAAAAATCCCTCGAAATTATTTCAAAATTATTCAGTCATAGCATTAACAATGCTCATTGAGAAAGCGAATTGAAAAGAACAAAAAATACTGCAATCACGATAATTAAAAAAATGAATAATAAATTCAAGAGAGTATTTTGAAATAGTGAATGCATTCACTGGAAGTGAGCAGATGGTTTTCATTAAGGTATCGTGTAAATTAATCAACGTCGAACAAATGATCATAGAGTAGGAACACAGAATGCGTTTTTTTTGGGCATTCACAAACTTCACGATCAATTATGCCGTACATTTTTCTACTATCCACTAACTTAGTATTAAAGAAATCCACCCAAGTCTTTCATGAAGCCGTCAGTCGGTGACTTTGGCTGTACAACTTTAAATAAAGATTTTTTATTATTATCAGAGTCAGAACATGTGTAATATATAATTCCTGACGTTTTTAGTTAGAAGATGCTAGACGATAAGAGAAAGTGTTGCCAGTCCTGCTAAACGTGGCTCATTATCCTTGAAGTTGGACCAGAGGGAAACTCGCTAAAGAACCTTGAATGTTGCACTTCCATCAGTGAAGTTGAGTACGCATGAAGTTAAAAAGCACAGAAATACAATCATATTAAGACTTTGCATGCATATAAATTTGCTAACAAATTAATAAAGTGTCTTCAGAGTCATGAAGTTGAGTTTTTTACCGATTGAGGCGACCGCCACTGTGATGAAGAGGAGGGACAACATCTTGACGCGACTGGCACGAGAGCTGGTGGCCAACTGGCGCGTCTGAGCTGCAGGCGGCGCAAGGCTGCAGTCTCTCTATAATTTTTGACTTTTTTAATTTAATATTCAGCCTGCGAAGCTTATCTAGATAAATAGATTATTCTTCTCTACGTTTTGCTCACTTTTTGTGCAATACCGACAATCATTAAAAAAATACAATTAAAAATACAATTAAATTTAAATACAATTAAACTACGCGGAGGTGAATGTTTGATTCTTTAAACTCATTTTCCTCTTGTTTGACATGGAGTTTGGATGAGCATTTAGCAAAATAATAGAAAAACTTTACATATATGACAAATAAAGCTGAACAGAACTTGATTGATTCTCAAATGAAAAAAATCGCGGCATGCAAGCTCTCTACCAACATTCATTTAAGTCTTCGGGTTGCAGCGATCAATGCGGGAACGGTCACGTCTGAAGTGCGTGCAGCGTAGCGGGCGTTTAGTCGCTGGGATCCTAAACATAAGATATGATCGCTTTCAACTCATTCTGGACCCTGTTAATGTATGAATGCCATAAATATAGATTTAGCGCCAGTTTAGCTAAATCCACCGTCATGCCTTTAAACTTTAGGTGAGTAAACCATCTGGACCACCATCTTTATTAATTATTATTCAGCGTTAGATGGCCACACTTTGAATAAACCTGCAGGTATTGTACTGCAACTGAACCTAAGACCTTTATTATTTCATATTCCCCTTGAAAAACGATACGGATTCGTCGTGTATATTTTTTTCTTTGCAAAAAAGGTATTGGCTTCGGTAACATTTGTATTATAACTGTTAATGATAATAGCTTTCGATCAAAAACTCGGGACGAGTTTAAATGAATATTCGGCTAACTGGGACTGACGGTTTGAAGGAAGTTTGTAAATGAATTAGAGTAAAATCATTTTGTCCTGATTTGAAGAATGTTTGGGACTTTCAGTTTTGCAATTGAATTATGGCTAAGACCGATACAATTATATTTTCTTGCTACTTTTGCTCCAGAATTACGATTTAGATTAATTATTTCAGTATTGCTAAGAAACATAATAATATCGGACACTGCAGTTGTTTTGAATTGTTTATGATAGCAAATTGATGATGTAACTAACTTATCAAATCGTCTAACGAGGGACGGGTTTTATCGGCGGTCTTTATAGGCTGATCCGCCATAACGTTGCTCGTTTTTGATGCCTTTCGATTTATTCGCTTGTCACGATCTATTAATGTCTTTTTTGTCGCGGATTGGAAAATAATTTATATTTATCAATGTTCGAGTATAAAAAAACTTTTATTGATGAAATATATTTATGTCTTTTTTTATGTCAAGGGTCGTGACCGTATATTGTTGCCATTTTTCTCTTTTAACTGTAAATTCTGCCAGAGATGAAAGAACCGTTTGAATTTTTTTCTCCGTTTAAGCCGTTCACGCATTTGTATTTTACCTGTGCAACCTACGAGCTCCTTCCGCGGTGTTTTTAATTTTGATGCATTTGTGAAATCATCGTAGGTAATACTGAGTTTTGTGAATACTAAGAAGTTACCTTAACCGCAATTAAATGTCAAAACTTTTACTAAAAATGTCCGTTACTAGGAATAAAATTCATCAAAATGCTTTGAAGTTTCCATATTATTTCAAGCGTTGAAATTCGGATACAATTTTGAACAATAAACAGCCATCGCTATTGCCTTATGAGCAGCATCTGATATTCTTGCGTCGTGACGTCGCAGGTCGGTTAATTTAGTAAATATTGTGCATTTTATTTTAATATCAAGTTCAAATTTGGTCTTCATCCACTAAAAATAGTGTACGGCTTGTGGCAAAAAGAGTCCATTAAAGTTTTGGTTAATAAAGGTCCCATTATATTACTCAGTGGGAAAGTTCCCATTGAGTTGTCTGAAACCCGTTACTGTAACATCGTCATCTGAAACATCGTTACGTCTAATCGTTTTAAATCAGGCCAATTTCTGCTGTAATCAAACATGCCTCTGATAACTGCTCTCCGCGGGCATTTCTTTTCTAATCCTGTAGCGCACGCTGTCGAGTAAGTAATCCGTAGTAGAGGGTAAAAAAGAATTTGATAATAAGAATGTTTCATTGGAATGAACAAAAAAATAACTAACACAAATGGTTTGGTCGTTGTGGGTCAACAACAAATTACGGGAGGAAGTTTCGACATCGCAGCCGTGACGCGAAGTGAGGCGAGACGGCTCAGATAATTAGTGAAAACGTCGTCGATGTGAGACCAAAAATTTCACTAAAGAGAACGAAACAATCGAAGAAACTTTGGTGGTTCATCAACTTGAGTTAGAAGAAACCTTGTCATGGAGTTTGGAAACGTAAAGATGAGCATGTTCTTAACTAATAGCTGGGTAATAATACATAGATAAAACAACAGCTCGTGGCAAAAAAATGGGCACATGCAATTGTAAGAATAACTAAGAGTCGTCTGTAGTGCTACTGAAGCGTCTATGTTTAAGTGAAATTGAGCATTGTTCAACATCAATTAACTATGCACTTTGTGAGACAGAGAGAGACTACATGAGAGATATATTAAATCACAGTTTAAACAGACATGAGTTCTTTGAAATTCTCGCAATGATTTTGAACCATTAATAAATTTACGATAAACTTAAATGCAAATAATAAAATTACTATGTACACCTACAAGACCAAAATGTAAAATTTCTGGCATGGGGAATTTTTCAATTGACTAAAGCTTTACGCAAGTTCTAACTAATTTCATGGATAATAATTAGTGACCTCATTGCTCATCAATGACTCCATTCATTATTTATATCGTAACATCTAATCGTAAAATTGACATTCTCAGAACTGAGAGTGAGGGGATTGGTGGGGAGGTCGAAAGGGGCAGGGGTGGGGGGTGAATCTTGCCGCTGATTGGTTGCTTAGGCTGCGGGTCCACCACCGAGTTCGGCGTAATAATTTTCACTGAAAATAAAGAAATTAAGGTTAGATAACGGAAGGTTTGTATGAAACCAATCATTCTATTACATTCATGTCCGCTAGGGGCTGGTTAAATATCCCCCTCAACAGAAGCCCATGCATTTTCTTCCAGGTTCATTTCCATGGTTTTTTTTTTTTCCATGGTTGAATGTCAACTTCTTATTCTATCACTTTGAATGTTCGTATACGAGTAATTGAGAACAAAATACGATTCTATGAAGAGAGGAGTTAAAGTTATAATAAATTGTTTTCCGGATCGTTAATAAGATTAATATCGTTAAGATTAATATCGGATCGTTAATAAGATTAGCGTTCCGGATCGTTGGTGTTTGTAGATCGAAGGTGACTGTGCTCGTTTGTATGGAATGATCTGGAGAAGATCCTAAAAGAGTCTTGATATCCTAAGCCTAGTTACTATAACAATAAATTTATTGATTTGTATAGTTTTTTTTTTAACTTTTCACACTTCCACTCCAATGCTCTACCGATTACATAGTTCTAGATTCCCAGTGGCTTTGGAAGTCTATATGAATTACCCACTTTAATTCGATTTTAGATACACCTCTTGGATAGGGTCTATTTAGGTTCAATCCTCTAGATAGGGTCTATCTAGTTTTGGTTAATTTCAGAGTATACAAGACTGGAAACGCTTTGGTGTAACGTAACAAAGATACGCTCTACACAGGATCAAACTAATTCAGGATGACCCACACACGGGCAAAAATATCATCGATATTTGGACAAAGTCTCAATCATTTCTGTTAGTGAGAGTCACGTGCATGCACGACGTGAGAGAAATGCAATTGCACACGACGTGTGAAAGTGTTGCAGCATCAGGTACTGTGAGCCTGGCTTACGCTCAAGATGAATGTTTAAATGTTATTACCGGGACGTTGCTGTAACGGTAATAACACACGGTTGGGACTGTGGGAGTATAATGATCGCTGGAGAACTATCGACTTAGGCCAAATGACTTTCAATTTGCATGTCGTCCATAATTGAGAACGAATGAATAAATTATCTAAATTAAACAACGTATAAAACATTGTAACGAAAGTATTATGTTTGAATCAAATGAACACACATTCCATCTTTTAAATAGTAATAGCAATTGAAAATTACTCTATTAGATGCTCATGGGTTTAAGACTAAAAAATTATATCAGAATCAAAGAGTATGGAAGAGTTTAAAATAAAAGGAAGAAATACGAGTTCAAGTGAGGTCGAGAATGAGGTAAGAATGTGCCTTCGCATGCCGCGTGAAGTTGACATTTCTGATAAAAACCTTGCAATCGAAGTATTATTTGAATTTAATTTTCACCGTCGCAATTTTTCAGAAAATATCAGTAACTAAAGCCCCGAATATCACAATTTCAGCAGGACTATATCCCGGTTTGATATAATCGCAACTTGATCATAAAAATGAAATGAATAACTACGCATGATACATAACAGAAGTTAATCGAAAACATAATGATAGCTTTGCTACCGAAAAATTAGAGCTATATTATGTAAATATGCCTTTCGATATCATAACATTTCCACAAACACTATTTGGTTAATGGATTTTCAGAGACTGATAATATAATGATAGCTTCGCCACAGAAAATTAGAGCTAAGTTGTGTAAATATTTATTTCGATATCATAACATATCCACAAACACTATTTAGCTAAGGGAACTTCAGAGAGCACCCACCAGCCGGGGACGTTAGCGGGGTCGTCGCAGTTGAGGGTGAGGTCGTTGAAGACTGTGCCCTCAGGGCAGCCTGACACGCTGGGGTATTTGCCCTCCATGCAGATGTAGAAGCTGCGGCAGTCGTCGGGCTTGATGTAGCGGGCGTGGTCCAGGATGTGGCCGTTAGTGTGGACCTGTGTGGAGTTGGGGCACGAGAACCCGTCCTCCAGAACCTCTGTAAACAGGGACTGGCTCAAAATGTGGACCTTAACCGGTCCTTGAGATCCTCTGTAAACAGGGACTAGTATAAAATATGGACCTAATAAATATTAAGGAAAGATAATCGGTCCCTGAGAACCTCTGTAAACAGGGACTGGCTTAAATGTGGACCTAATAAATATTAAAGGAAAGATAACCGGTCCGAGAGAACCTCTGTAAACAGGGACTGGCTTAAAATGTGGACCTAATAAATATTAAGGAAAGATAATCGGTCCGAGAGAACCTCTGTAAACAGGGACTGGCTTAAAATGTGGACCTGCATGGTTGGAATCATTGCACGACAACCAGTCAACGACAACCAGTCAACCAGTCAACAACCTCAGTCAACAAAATAATCATAAATTTAGAACCATTATTCTGCGTTAATCTGAAGAAATTGAGATGAAAAATCTCATGAAATTCACTGCACCGTAGTGAAAAATTTAACCTGCAATAATATTCATTATAAAAAATCGCGTAATCAAATATATGATTTATCGCCGGAATATGACATATATTTGATACATGAACATTTCGCCGGAAAAAGATCTACTGTAATTTTATCCAATAAATTTGATCCAATGTCTTTTAAGTTTTGTTATCAAATTTTCTCGTTGAAATAAACATTAGTAAATTGAACTTTTTCTGATAGGACGGTTAGTTAGCCAGGCATAAGTTCTTTTGAGAAAAGATCCTAGGTTAACTGACCGACGCGGACGGCGCAGCCAAACGTGCTGAAGTTTTCTAATTTAATTTAATTTAAAAACAATTGATTGTTGAACTGACCGACGCGGACGCCGCAGCCGGTCCTGATGCCGGTGTGTTCCCACTGGCAGGTGCCGGTGAACTCATCGAAGACCAGCCCCGTGGCGCAGGTCCGGAGCACGGCCAGGCCGTTGGTGCACTCGTAGTACTGGTCGCAGTTGGCCGCGTCTTCATGCTCGAAGTAGCCGTTGAGACGCGGGCACTCGATGCCTGATGGCTGGGGAGGCTCTGTGCCACAAAAACAAAATATAATCTCAAAACTTTGAAACTATTATTTCTGCAGGGAACAAAGATTGAATTATTTCCATGTTACGTGAAACTTGAATGGCACTCAAATTTAATAAGGAAAAGGGGTATAAGGTTGAGTATATTCAGAATTATCAGTTCAGGATCAATTCGCAGAATTTATAAGATAAGACATATTCCAATATTATAAATATACTTATAACCCACATTTCATTCATTTTGCACGGACTTTCAATCTAAATTTTAATTTTTTAAACAATTTTGAAGAGGTTCATCATTACATTTGACATGCATCATTAATACTAATGTAAAATCCACAAGACGTCGCGTCACTCACGAAGAGTGGCGCCCTCAGGGCAAGAGACGATGAAGGGGTAGTTGCACTGCTCTACGCGGGGTCCCACTGATGAGTCAAACACCAGACCGTCGGGGCAGAGTTTCTCGGTTTGTTCGCCTCTGTAGCAGTCGTAGTATTTGTCGCACTGTACGGGGTCTCTGAAGAACCCATCGTCGGGTCCACACTGGAACTGGGCGCTCGCCAGAGCTGCGCACCAACAGAAGTGAACCTTAACTTCGAATTCGTCATTAGGAGGTTTTGTTAAACACTGCTGAATTCAAATGGTGTTTCATAACAACATCTTATCACTTTTATTTTTATTGAAGTGGATTTAAACAAGTTCACTTCTATTGCAAAAATTTGAAATTATATATTGATGAAGAAAAATGGATAGTACGAATATGTGATGCCAATCAATGATTCAATATGAAATCAAAACGGTTAGTGTAAACTAAAGTGAACGTTCATATTAGCTCAATTTAATGTCTAACTGAGACTCAGTTATCCCTTGTGACGATCATTACGTGTTACATGACATCAAATGTCGAGACCTTCATTTGCTCATGTAATTACCTATGGAGTAACGTGAAGCAGCAATATTTGAAATTCAAAGGACAACCCTGTCCTGGGTCACTGCTGAGATGAGAATATTTCGTAGTAGACAAATGATCGAGAGAAGGATTTTGTTCGCATTGCGGTTACGTAGAGATTGTTCCCTGTACAGAGCTGACGCAAGACACGTAGCAGAGTACCTGACTGCTCTGAGGTGGGGACATAAGCAAGTACTTAAAACTGAAGGCCAGACTGCGGTCCGGGAGAGAGGATCACTCTACGATTGTTTCAGCTGAGGTGAACGACCGTTCTTTGGAGACTTGTTCAAGATTTTAGAGCGCGCCTGAACGCTAAAATATCCATTAACGTTTGTGGGTCTTCTAAGGTAATTTTTAAGTAGTGTCTGAGGTAATTTTTAAGTAGTAGTTGTAATTTTTAAGTAACATCTTTTAGCATCAACTAAGGTCGTTACTAAGGAGTGGTTATTATACATATGACTAAATTTACGTACGGTCGAAAGGCGAAACTCCTCCAATTTTAAAGTTACTTAGATAGCCAACTTCATATCAATAAAAACGTTCGCATTTGCATGCTTCAAGTATTTCAAATTCAAGACTCGATTGGTAACTTGACAGTGACAACGTTTGTTTCGTAAAAAAATATTGCCGTTCCTATTTTTCTTACATAGAAAGAAACGTATTAATTTGGTTTTGCATCGTGAAATGCATGATCGCTCAAACAAAAGAATTTAAAATAAATGTGTAAATTTCATTAAATATAATTCAGAATCTAATATTTTAAATAATTGATTATTTAGGAGCGATGCGGGTGCAAACTTCCCGCTGACTTGTGATCAGAGAATCATTCATAAATACTCTGATGGCAGAAAAAAACTCGCATTTCATGATCGATTTGTCCTCAAGTCATCTTCCTATACGAGAGTTTTTCTGCGTATATACACACTAATCAAAGAGAAACTAAGTCAAATTTTCTGCCAAAGTTCAAGACTTAAAAAAAGTCTGCAGACGCTAACACGCAAACGCTCGCCATCAGTGCCGCCTTTGAAGGGGGCAAAGGCTGGGGTCGCTGTAAAGGTGTCGCATTGTTGAGAGGTCGGTGAAAGTGACTTCAAGGCCGTCCTAATATTGGTACATATCTCTCGCCTCAACTCGAATGCATGAGTGGGACTTCGGGGACGATCAGGGCAACATAATGTGGATTATTTTAGCCCTGCACCAAATATTATGAGTAGAGAGATAAGAATGGCCTCAAGATGCTGTACATCTCCTGGCTGGCTGATTGCTCTATCATATGAAATTTGCATGCAGTCGCGTAAATAAGGCGTCTTGGAGGACAAAAAGATGTATTTTTTTAATATATAATAATAATAGGGAGCGTATAATGTGTAAAAAACTAGAATTATACGAGAAAAAATAGAAATATTCGTTATTATCTACTCGTAGATACGAGTTATACGTAATTGGTTTGGTTATTAGTAAGTTTGCTTGTATAGATAGCAGTTTAGGCTTTAGGGTCAAAGACTAGTGTCAGTTTAAGTGATCTCAATTTGATATTTTTGGCGTGTGCATACAAATTTAAATTTAGAAATGAAATATTGTGGTTGCAAGCAATTAGATACTAGAGAAGTTCATAATTTGCGATACAAATGTATCTTTCTTACGAAATTAGGAAGACAGGTTCAAGAATTTCTGGAGACTTCTACGCGCAGTAGGTAATTATCCAAGCTAGGTAGTTCCTTAACAAAATTTAGAGTCGCCCCAGCTTCTGGTACACCAAATCCGAAGCTGCCACGTCTGTAAATTTTCACTGGGATTTAAAATACTCTTTTTACGAGCTCTTGCAACCACGCCATCTCTTTCGTCCAGTATTATATTTACATGTAAAATGGAAGTTCTGAAACGTTTCTGAATAAGAAGTTCATTCAATGGGATTTTTTTGCGGTCGATATGGCAGAAAACGACATTAGGATTTTTCAGGAAACGAGTGGAAATAAAAAAAGCTAAAACTTCCATTGGCAGTTGATCGAATATTCGTGGAAAAATCATCTGATCAAACAAATTTAAACTTTTAACATAGAGAACTCAGTTTGTTGGAAAGATTGCGAAGTGAAAGGAAGCGCAGTGTACGAGAGAGAGACGTTGAGTGAAGGTTCGCTTGCATCTCAGCAACGCGAAAGAAAAGCGTGACCGCGTCCAACTACCGTATCGATAAATAAAACTTTCGCAATTTCCGTTGATGATTCATCCACTGAAAATATTTCCATCTGGTTGATTGACGTGCAAATGCTTTCCTCGTCGGGTGCCGTGGAAATAAATCCGTTTTTACTAAGCGTAAATAAGCCAATTGTGCATATAAGCAATTCGCTGCGTTCGAATCAAAATAAGCAACTGCTATGTATGATGAGCCTTAACATGAATATCTATTGGGAAACAAAATATTATAAATAAATTTCTATTTAATTCATAATACTGTAATTTGCTTATTAATTGTAACGCAAATTCTGAGGGAACATCAAATTTAAACCTGAAAGTCTCATAATTTCCATCTACTCCAATGAACTACGACAAGAAATCCCAAAATACGTTAAATTTGAGGAAGATTGCACCCACATCTACGCATCCTACAGGATTACACTTGCAAATGATGGGATGGGAAGAATGTGAAGGAGCGTCGAGACCGTGGATGAGGAGAGGACGGTGGATGGGTGAACGACCTGAGTGCGTTCACTCGCACTGCAGCGCCAGCCCCGCTATGCATCTCAATTACGCGGCCAAAATAAAATGCAGGAATTGCCATAGATTATTGCTATAGATTACTTGATTAGAATTGCTATAGATTACTTGATTAGAACTGCCAGCAGAGATTATTGCCATAGATTACTTTATTAGAATTGCCATAGAATATTGCAATAGATAATTTGATCAGTATTGTCAAATGATATTGCAATAGATTATTTGACTAGAATTGACATAGAATATTGCAATAGATAATTTGATCAGTATTGTCAAATGATATTGCAATATATTATTTGATTAGAATTGTCATAGATTATTGCAATAGATTATTTGATTAGAATTACCATAGAATATTGCAATAGATTATTTGACTAGTATTGACATAGATTATTGCTATAGATTATTTGATTAGAATTGCCATAGAATATTCTAACACGAAACTCATGGAAGAAGTTCATGATCTACTCGTACTTAACTAACAGCGATCCTGTCGCGGAATGCAGGAAAACAGGATGATATTGAAGCTGTTCTCTCAGCTGAATATGAGAAGAAATAAGAAGAGATTTTCTCCGCTGAGTTGGGAAAGAAAATATTTGCCTTCTTAAGAACATGTGAAAAGAAGTTGTTTTCTAAGCTGAATTGGAAAACAAGCTCTGGTCTCCTATGATTTGGAGAAACCAAAGTTTTTTTTGCATTGAATTGGATAAAAAAGACTGATTCGAAGAATGAAGTTTTCCCCGCGAAGTCAGAAAAAAAAAATATTACCCCAGCTGGATCGAAGAAAAAATAAGTTTTTTTTTCGCATGAAGCGAAGAAAAGAAGCTCTCCACCTCTCTAAACTGGATGAAAAACAGTTAATATCTTCGCTGAAATGAAAAAAATGAAGGTTTTCCCGCTATAGAGAAGAGAATAAGCGGTATTTTTATAGGATTAGATTTAATTCGTACAATTTATACCTCACAATATGACGTAAATAATTCGAATCTATGATAAAGCGTTTCCATTTTATGGGGAATTGATGAGCTCATATGAATAATAAATAACTTGAGTGTGCAAACTAAACATCTATGATAATTATGTTGATAAAGTAATAGAAGATATAAAGTCAATATTTATTTTAAGCTACTGTTACGTGATATCACATCGTCAAATCAAGTTGTGAGTCTAGCGATGACTTAGAAGAAGTTCTGGGACTGAAGGATAACCCCTGTCATAAATCATGCTTATTGTGAAGGTATAAATGAAATAACATCTGTTCAGCGATTAGAAACAGAAGAGATACCGGCTCAGTGCAAAATTGAATCTTATTTAAATTGAGTCTATCTCCTTCAATGGTTTAATCAAGACTTTTTATTGGTAAATTTGTACAAAAATTTAACCGACTTGCCTTTACTGCCAGGCACGGGAAATTTTGGAGCGGTAATTTACAATAAATTTTTTTATTTATGATTCGTTATTTCGAACTTTCCTAGACAGAATTTCTAAAAATTTGGGGCCACCGAGCAACGAAAGTAAAAATTAATCCAATTCACAAAAATCCAAATTATTGAGAGATTAAAGATATACAAAGATTAGTTCCAGCGTGCGTGTGAACCGGGGGAGTGAAGCGTGGTTACCAAAGAAAAGATCGCGAAATTTCTGGGAAGAAGACAAAGGAACGGAACGATGAAGCGAGACCGGGAGCCAGAGAATTGCTGTGGCCTGGAGGTGACCTTGAGGCCCCCTAAACCTTCCCCAGGAGGAGGCAGACCGGCTACAAAAGGTTAGAAAACTCTTCCCACATGTGAATTCCCTTCGAAAGAATCGTGGACATCACGAGGATTTTTTGTACTACGTCTGATTCTTCACAAGAATTCAAGTTCCATTAACTTGAGAGTTCTTACTTAGACATTTTTCATCCCGAAAACGCAAAAGAACACGCAACTTTTGACGGCACGCAAACGTGTCACGAAACGTCACGGTGATGCGTGTACGAGTCATCCTCCATGAATATAAATCTGCATCTTTATAGTTGTGTGATTTGCATGACTGCTGCGAGATTGCCAAGACGGCAGTCTTTAGTGCAAGCGTCCCGACTTAAGAACTTTAGGTTATCTAAAGGCAAGGAACTTTAGGATATCTAAAGGCAAGAAACTTTAGGATATCTAAAGGCAAGGAACTTTAGGATATCTAAAGGCAAGGAACTTTAGGATATTCTAAGGCAAGGAACTTCAGGATATCTTACGAAATAAGTGGTTCGTCTTATATCTCCGTAAGCTAGTCAAGAATTAATGGAAGAGAGAAGACCCTATCTCAGTAGACCTAGTCCCAGTCAATTAGACGGAGGAAGATCATATCTTTAGACCATATCAAGTCCAAGTCAACAAGAAGGTGGAAGACCCTGTCACAGGTAACCCAGTCCAGTCAAATAAAAAAACAGTTCTGTTTGATTGTTTAGCCGGACTTCCAAGAAAGATTTCAAAACAAGATGGCAAAGAATACCGCGGGCTTAACTTCGTGGAATGAGAGATACAAACTAAAGCTGAAGTCCAATACTTAGAAAAAATCCTTAGGCCGCAAAATATTTACGATCGAAATAAAAAACTATGCATTTCCTATTTTCTTATGAAAAATCAAATTTATATCGTCCATTAAAAATTATAATGAAATTTAAGTCAGCTGCAAAAATGGTGCCGAGACCAACAATGCCTGTTGCGAGACAATGTTCTCAGAGCATTATATGTTGTAATAGAATTGCATATGATTAATTAATTCAATCGCTGAATCAATATTTGATTAAATCATGAAATATTTGCTTTAATTAATAGAAGGAGTTAATTAGTTCCGAATTTATTGATAAATTTGATGGATCAAGTAACATTCACTTATCATGAAGCTAAATGTTTCCGCGACACCTCAGTTGAATATTCATACTCGTATCAATACAACCATAAAATCCATTCTTGATCACAAAAATGTCGCACCACGTTTCAATAACCAGACTCACAAGTCAAGGAGATCACGTATGACTCATATTTGGCTGGTATTACACTGGACAAAAGATTGTGTTTTACACCGCAACATTCCTAACGCTGCCCTAAAGTTCACAAGTCTTGCTCTGAATATTTCAGTTCAGAACAATGCATCATGAATAAGGAGCGAAAACTTCATCGTGCAGCGACTGTGAGTCGAAAATTTTGAAAAAATGAATGAAATTGCTATCATTCTACCACAGAAGCAGAAAAATTATGGTAATGCAATGAGATATGTTCAGGCTTTTGCCGTGGTTGATTTGTGAGTTTAACGAACGTTTTAATTATATTTGATTATTTGATTATTTAATGTTAATGTATGCGATTAATAGCGCCGTTTGATTTGCGCGTTTACTGTTTTGATTATTTTGTCACAAACAGCAGCGCCAGAGGCCATGAATGTAACTTTACGTATTATGAAAGGAATAATATAATTACATCTAAAGACACTTGCATAATTGCTTATACAATAACTGCTTTAACCGCTTATAATTTCAGAATTTAATATCTATATTGATATATTATAACACCATAATAATTAACGATAACAATATTACTATCCAAATTTAGTATATGAAAGAGAACACCGACATCGGTCGGGAAAACGTGCGCAGCTCATCACTCGCATGCTCCGCCTAGCGACGGGTTCCTCTTATGTTCCATCAAGAGCAGCTCTCTTATTAACTGAAGTATTAACGTCACTAGAATTTAATGGTAATGATAGTTTGATTGTTAGAAATGGCTTGCTGGGTTAAATATTAAGTGCATCATTTGCAATGAAACGGATTAAGTAACATACTGAAATGAAAGGGATCTGTCAGTTTAGCTTGAACGAAAGGGCTGAAGCAACATGACTGAAATGAAAGAGATTCAGAAACAGAACTGAAATGAAAGGGATCAGTCAGTTTAGCTTGAACGAAAGGGATTAAGCAACATGGATGAAATGAAAGGGATTGAGGAACAGAACTTGAATGCTAGGGGATCGGCCAACTTAGCTGGAATGGAAGGGCTGAAGCAACGTGACTTAAAGGAAAGGGATTGTCAGCATAGATGGAATGAAAATGATTAAGCTACATGACTGGAATGAAAGGTATTAAGCAAAATGATATGAATGAAGAGGATTAAGCAACATGACTGGAATGAAAGGGCTCAATGAACATTACTGGAATGAAAAAGATTAAGCAACATGTCTAGATCATCATGACTGTGAATGATGTCGTTCGTAGGCTGGTGAATAATAAACGTAGGCCAACATGAAGGAGTGCACAGAAGGTGCGGTGAAAGGGTATCTTCCTCGGCCAGAGCACCACATGACCTCATGATGCCATCACCATGCAGCACACATCCATTTTTGTATCATCTCCCATGTATATCTATGCATCATAACCCAACCAACAATATATGCTTCGTACGTCATGCATCAACGTACGTATCTCGTCTTACTATGCCAGCATCGTGCGAAGCGCCTCTGTATAGAACACGAGTTTATTATGTATCCTAAGATGAGTATAGTTCTTATATTAAATTTGCTGTTATAACAGCAAACGGAAGTATGCAGCCTCGTGTCTTAACATAAGTAATCGTTTCTTCATCACTCCGAATTATTAAAACCTGACTCGTGAGCAGCATCTTTGCGAATCGTAAGTTAGCAAAAATACATTGCAACATACATACACCCGATAAACTTTCATAAGCGCTGATCAATTGATCGAACAATTAGAGATGTTTTCCATGAATGACTTCAACGATCAATTTATCAAACTGCTTCGCATACAATTTGCGCTGACGCTCGTTTGGAGCCATGCAATTTTTTTAATTTTTCCTATTTAAGCATCTATTCGGAAATTGCAACAGAAAAACTTATAACAATATTTTTTAAACTGGTAAGCAAGGTTAACATTTCCTCCGGCCCGAGGGACAAACACAAACCGAGGATACTCGAACAATTATTCTTATTTTTTGTGAGAAAAATAAATATACAATGTATTTTCCAGTTAATCATCGGTACGAAGTTTCGATTGAGTCAGTTAAATATGAAATGAATCTATGTACCCAGTCATATAAGATTTTAATTTTTATTGAGGAATTTAGCAATTAAATCAATCAACTATGTATAAACTCAGTAGGAGGACGCAATATCACATTGTAGGCATATCACAAGATGCTGTTTTAGTGCTAGTATAGACCCAAGTAAGCTTCATATTATGTATTTCTTTCCCGTCGTTTTGATTCGTACTTGTGTAAGGTATAAATACCGACCATCAAGCATGCCCACTCTTCTGTCCCCCATCAACACAGTGAATTTTTCGAAGGTTGGAATTGAATGATTCCCTGAATTCAAATAAGCTATCGTAAGAATTTTCGGCTATGTTGAGCAATATATTACCTTAAATTGACGCCGACTACTGCAACAATTACAGGCTAAAAAAATTATTTTCGTTTTTCATTTGTTAATTACTCCTTTAGTGACAGTCTAGCAAAGCAAAATCCACTAGTCGATAATTGAAGAGTAAAGAATATCCAAAGTAAATTGAAAACAGAGAAAAATGTAGCAGCCGGCGAGAATAATTCAGAACGGGACTCACCAGCACAGGCAAAGAGGACGGCAAAGGACAGCATTCTGAACGCGTTGACAGCAGCACGGCTACGAACGGACTGACCATTTACGGGACCAGGACGCCGCTTTTATACGCGCACTTTCCCAAGGCTGCCGACGACTCCAGCACAAGTTTCCATCCAGTTCAGAATTCAGTCATGAAACCTTACACCTCCAAGTAAAAAATTCTGTTTAACATGCTTTTCAATGCATCATATGGATTAATTATCGTGAATTTCCGCACTTCTCGTAATTAATTCAAAGGGTTTGAGTCATGGGTGGAATTTTTGAGTCACTGCTTCTCAGGGCAAAAAAATGCTTCCTTATAGACAAGGTTCAGAGGTTCGTCGGTCAACTCAGTCGTGGGTCACAGGCTTGTGCATGAACAAAAGAAGTAGTCTAGCCTCCTATCAAGTGGGTACAGGTTGCAGAATAAATGAGGACATGCACGTTATTTTTTTTATCTGTACAACTGCAAAATTTCTCTGAAAAACGCCTTAATGATGAATGAAACGAGGAAAGATAAACTATGAGGATTAAATTAAATGTAATCAAGGTACTGAAGAAGAAGCTCGAATAGTGCAAGATTTGCTGGCGGCGAGTGAGAGATTAGTAAAGTATTGCCTTTTGCATATCGAAGTGCAAATGATACACAGATTCTCAGTCAGCAATGTAACCCATGCAAAAAGTTCATATTATGCGATTAATACTTCCTTTCTTAGTCAATATTGCGATATTTTCGACTTAATCGACAAACGCGATACCATTATAAATGTAACGAACATTAAGTTCTGTGCCCCGTGTCCGTACGTAGCCCTGTGCTCTGCGCCCGTACGTAGCCCTGTGCTCTGCGTGCTCTGCGCCCGTACGTAGCCCTGTGCTCTGTGCCCGTACGGAGCCCTGTACTCTGCGCCCGTACGTAGCCCTGTGCTCTGCGCCCGTACGTAGCTCTGTGTTCTGCGCCCGTACGTAGCCCTGTGCTCTGCGCCCGTATGTAGCTCTGTGCTCTGTGCCCGTACGTAGTCCTGTGCTCTGCGCCCGTACGTAGCCCTGTGCTCTGCGCCCGTACGTAGCTCTGTGCTCTGTGCCCGTACGTAGCCCTGTGCTCTGCGCCCGTATGTAGCCCTGTGCTTTGCGCCCGTACGTAGCCCTGTGCTTTGCGCCCGTACGTAGCCTTGTACCGCTTGAACATCGCAACGACATTCGCTTTAACACATGAAAACAACAAAAACCTACAATTTTCTTTACAGCAACATACAAAGTATGTTACTGTAAAATGAATTGAACAAGGAACAACTATTTAACGTTAACAAATCGCCAATTGCCTGAATTGCACCAACGTTTACTTTAAGTCTTTTCCTTGTCAGAGGACTTTGAAAGTTTGTCGTGGCTTAAAGTTGATCAGGAAATAGGGTGCGAAAAATGTCGGGAATAAGATAATGTCGTGGAAATGAGGAAAAAATAAAGGGTAACATTTTGAGGAAATCGGTAAAAAATATATTTTATATATTATGATTTGAAATAAAAAATTGAAAAATAGAAAACGACGGGGAAATTGGAATGAAAAAATTTTCAGAGATGAAACCGTCCAGAAAAAGAAAATATCGAGAAAATTGGAAAGGAATGATCAAAAGAGGAAATAACACGTAGAGGAAATTATACAGAGAAAATACAGCGGAAAAAAAGAAAATATGAAAATGTCATTGAATTTTTTGCTATAACCATCACCGCTTTCTTCTACTATGGGGAAATGCTTTATTCGTTGTTTAAACCCAGGATGCAGCAGCTCAGTCCCACTCAAACGAAAATTGCCATTGAATTCACCCATTCGATTATATTCACATTATATTCACCCATTCATTGTATTCACCCATCTACATATTGTATTACATATTTACTACACAATCTTATGAAAAAAATAAAAGTCACCCTTATATCGCTATCATATTTCGGAATAATGTCTTATTCTACAGCAAGCCTCAATGATTTTCTCAAAATTCCAGCATTAATTTCATTAATTTGTTCATCCAGATAATTTTTTGTTAACTGTCCGACATATCTCCATCTGGAACACACAAACACTTCATCCTAAATCGGCAACAGGCCATGGGCCTATTTATTCAACGCCGACACTTCTATTCTATTCTATTCTATTCTAAATAGTCCGTGATAGGACAAAGCAGGAGTTGCGTTGTCAGCTCAACCTTTCTCGGAAGCCACAAGCGACATTTTGCTGCGAACTCTTGGTCAAATTTTCGTTGGCCGCTGAATGACGGACGATCACTCGACTATAATCCACATTCCAATTTGAATAAGATACGTGCCATTCGGATGACGGCCTTGCACTTACGTACACACATACGGAAACACCAGAAGTGTTGAATGTGTTTGCTTCATACATACACCTCAGGCGACCATGCAGACACCTCCGTGAACTGCTGTCTCGTCTGGCCAGTCACGGGGACAGACGAAATTCCACTTTTTATTCTTGACCACTGGTCCCGACCTCACGGGGGTATAGTTGTTTCAATAAACCTTTTTGACAGATGATATTTTACTTGCTGATAATTTTAGTTGATGAAAAGAATCGGATCACTTGTATAGTTTTGGTTAAGATCTTAGCTAGTGGGAAAAAAATAAAGTTTTTTTCCGCGTTAGTTTAAATGAACAGAGTTGGTATGACTTCCTCACACTGAATCGCTTGAGCCTAGTGACCCAGGTTTAAATCGCATTTTATTTGGCCTTATCTTCAACCTCGTTGTATGCATTAATAACAAGCGCACCTAATGTATAGCCCATGAGAAAAATCAGAACTCCTAATCGTAAACATTTTCTATTACACCGATTCTCAGTACAAAATGTAATCTTGGTACGCCGTTTTTCAGGTCCATGCAACGCCACAAGAAATTTCGCGATTCATGTTAAAGAAATGACAACAGTTATGATGTTAGTAACCACCGTTTTTGTTCAATTATTATCTAATGTCAACCAATAAACTAATATCAGATAATTTTTGTGCAGCTGAATGTTTTCGAAACCATTTAGATGCCGATAAGTGTAAATAATTGAGTTATTTAAACTTCCACCTATCCTCATGTCCTAATTTGTATCAATAACTTTAATGATTTACGGGATTATTAAAGTGACTAAAATAATAATAGAGAATATACTCTTTCTGTTTAGGTACATTAACAACCCGGATGTATATAAAGTGAGCTAAAGAGCTCGGCTTAACATTTATGTTTCACTTACCGGAAGTTACATCGTAATTTGAGATGCGGCCCGAAGCAAAGTTCTGGTGTGACTCTAACATGAAGTGTCGTAGCTAAAGTTCATTGAAAAGTAACTGTGATCACATCAAATCATTTTCGTTGTTCATTATCCGCATCTATCCAATAGCCGGAAAATTTAACCCCTAAATTTACTTTCAAAATTGACCAGAACTCAGGTTTATTGCATGAACAAACTTTAACACTTTTTACAATTTCATAATTGATAACTTCGATGAATGAGACAAAAATAAGAGTCCAGCAAGGATCGACATGCTTGCGTTCGCTTGACGTGACGGCGCTGAACAGGTTTGGTGTGATCATAATATTTAAATACGCTTACAGTACAGACTACAGATATTTAAAGAATACTTAATTGGACTCCGGCTCGCATCCTGTGCTTGAATGAACTTGACCATATGAATATTAAGTTTTATGTCGGCCGAACGCTGGCACGTCAACGATTGGGTCCAGCCGAGCTATATTTTTTTGTCCACGCATCGTAGAAGTTCACAGTTTTATACCTGACTAATTTGTCCTGTAATATTTTTCATGAGTGAGATCATTGTGAGGCATTGCAAAACAGGGAGGAAAAGATAAGGACAAAAATATAATTTGATTTTTAAATTGGTAATTGCAAAACTAACTAAAGATGTGAAAATCGTTTCCATATGGATAAACTTTGAGGTACAAGTAATACCATGTACGCGCTAGAACAACCTCTATAAATTTACGAAACAAGGCTCCAAACGCACTCATATTAAAAATGACAAGTCCCTGCTACTATGAGGGACCACAAAGTGGTAGTCGAGCAAAAAAATGGGAAAACCCGTGTCTAAGCATTCTAGATTGACGGGGTTCATATACACCTTTAATTCCTTAGTTAGGATATTTTAATAATTGGGCACCGAAGACCCTTCCACCCCCAGCAGGTTAGATGTTTCTCTATTATTATCAGCCACCGTCGCTCTCGGAGGCATCGCCGCCTGGCCTGCAGCAGCCACCAAAGAGCCGCCGCAATTAAGAATGCGGTGAATCTCTTCCCCTTCTGCAGGAGTGGCGCCTCACTCCTGCCCCGCTCCTGGGGGTCACCCCGGACCATCACTGAGAACAGATCCCAGCTACTGGGGTCACCAGAGCCTCGCCAGTCCGACATGTCTTAGACCGACACGGAAGAGCATTCCATGAGCCTTCGGAGACCAACCATTTTGTTAAAGATTTTTAGTTCTATCGAAATTTCAAAGAAAATCGATGATGACGGCGAAATTTAACTAAAAATTAATTGGCTAAATTGGCTGGGCTCAGAAGGCTCATGGAAAGCCCTTCCTTGTCGGTGCAAAGCATGTCTTTGACCAGACTTTATATAGTCCGGTATCGTGGATCCGCAATGGGACAAACCCCTATATTTGGCATCTCCAAACAGCAGACAACATTATGGTCAATGTAGGGTACATAGGGCGAGGAACAATCGTCGTTCTCGCTCAAAAAAATTTAATCCAATTAATTCTGAAACTAAAGCCATTCGAATTGAAGAAAAAATCATTTAGAATTGTTACTTACTAGGTGAACAATAAATTGTAGGTAAATTTGTCTGCTGGCTTGATCGGAGGGCGTATTCAAAGATACTGGCTGACCAAAAATGAATCTGGCCACCACGGACGCACACGACCAACAATACGCGCAGCAATAGCTCAAGTTCAACGCTCTAATACCTCCTGCACTTCACTATCTTTGTTCACAGCGGGCCATTTATTTCTTCCGTCAGTAAAGGAATCGAGAGCATTTCTTAACTTAATCTAGAATCGA